ATATAGCCCGTGAGCTAAGAATGGTTTCTACATTTTTAAATGGTTGAAAAAATAAATAAAAAGAACACTGTGTGCCACGTGAAAATCATAAGAAATTCAAACTTCAATATCCATAGAGTTTTACTGGAACACAGCCATGCCTATTTAAATCTTCGATGGCTCCTTTCCCACTGCAATGGCAGAGTTGAGTTGTTGCCACAGATCAGAATGCCCTCAGAGCCTAAAATATTTACTGTCTGGCTCTTTACAAAAAAAGTTTGCTGACACCTGCTTTAGACTGAGTGGTCAGGGAGGGCCTCCCTGAGGAGGTGACATTTAAACTGAGACCTGAATGGCAGGAAAGAGGAAGATTAGGGGTAAAAGGGCAGAGAACAGAGAACCAAGGCAAAAGTTTTCTCTCTAATCTTACAACAGCCTTCCAAAGAGGGGCTCTGTCAAAACTATGATGGGGCCCTGAGGCTCTGAGGGTGCTGTGGTGTCCCAGGGTCAGAGTCCACAGGTCCCGAGTCGGGGTAGAGAGCCAAAACTGCCTGGCACAAGAGCCTGCCCCTTCTCAGCCTGGCATGGCACATGAACCCAGGAACTGCATGTTGAAAGACTTTATTTGCCTTCCTGGGTACAGTGACTGGGGATTTTAGATTCGTTCCCAGGAATAGGTGAGAAGGGCTGGGATTGGTTTACGGTCCTGAGAGCAGGTGTTCTACAGCCCCCCTGTTGGCAGCAGGTCCAGGACTGGCACAAAGCCCAGATCTGGCCCTGATAGCATGATCTGTGGCATGGCAGGGAGAATGGGGCAGCCCTCGATGAAGTCAGGGTCCTGCTTTCATCCTGACTGGCCCACAGCTTGTGGCCCAATGCAAGGAAGGCTACCTCCAGCCCAGGGGGGCCCAACTCCAGCCAGGTGGGGTTTTCTGAGGCTGGAAGAAGAGTGACAGTCTCAAGCTCTCAGTTAATAAATGTGGCTCAGAGAGAACCCAGTTCTCAGTCCTTTATGGGCCAGTTCATTCCTGCCAGGCTCTGTGCTAATGGAGGAAAGTAGGCTGTTAGTCCCATTTTAGAGCCAGAGAAATTAAGGCAGTGAGGAGCAACAGGGGGTACTGGTTAAAACCAAAGACTCTGTACCTGAATCCCAGACTCAGTATTTGCCAGATGTGTGACTTCAGGCAAGTGGCTTGACTTCTCTGTGCTTCAGTTTACCACTGATGATAATCTCTTCCTGAAAGAAATGTAAGGAATTAAAGGAAACAATAGCCCAGCACCACACCCACAGAGCCCATTCTCTCAGTTAGCTTTGACAACAGCCTTAAAAGGTCTTGGCAAGGCAGAGGACTCTGGCTTTGAGCCAGACAGAGCTCTTCTCCTGAAGAAGACATCATCCTTGACTCCCCTCTTTCGTTTAAGGGCCACAGTCCATCAGCAAATCCTGCCTTCAATAACCACCCACAGTCCAACCATTCCTGCCATACCCATGGTATCAACTTAATCCAAAGTGCCTTCAGCTCTCGCCCAGACTATTGCAAAGGCCTCTTAGCTGGTCTGAGATCTTCCATCCTTGCCTCCGCCCCCAGGTCTCCACAGCACTCCTCTTTTCAAAACCCTTCTGTTTCCTAACACTTCTGGAGTTAACTAACAACTTTTTTTTTTTTTTAATTTTTATTGGAGTATAGTTGATTTACAATGTTGTGTTAGTTTCAGGTGTACAGCAAAGTGAACCAGTTATACATATATGTATATCCACTTTTTTTGTTTTTTTAAGATTCTTTTCCCATGTAGGCCATTACAGAGTATTGAGTAGAGTTCCCTGTGCTATACAGCAGGTTCTTATTAGTTATCTATTTCATATATAGTAGTGTGTATGTCAATCCCAGTCTCCCAATTTATCCCTCCCCCTCTTATCCCCTGGTCACCATAAGTTTGTCTTCGTCATCTGTGACTCTACTCCTGTTTTGTAAATAAGTACATTTTTACCCTTTAAGAGTCCACATATAAGCGATATCGTATGATATTTGTTTTTCTGTGTCTGACTTACTTCACTCAGTATGACAATCTCTAGGTCCATCATGTTTCTGCAAATGGCACTATTTTGTTCTTTTTTATGGCTGAGTAATATTCCATCGTGTATATGTACCACATCTTCTTTATCCATTCCTCTGTCGATGGACATTTAGGTTGCTTCCATGTCCTGGCCACTGTAAACAGTGCTGCAATGAACATTGGGGTGCGTGTATCTTTTTGAATTATGGTTTTCTCTGGGTATATGCCCAGGAGTGGGATTGCTGGGTCATAGGGTAGTTCTATTTTTAGCTTTTTAATGACCCTCCATACTGTTCTCCACAGTGGCTGTGCTAATTTACATTCCTACCAACAGTGCAGGAGAGTTCCCTTTTTTCCACACCCTCTCCAGCATTTACTGTTTATAGATTTTTTTGATGATGGCCATTCTGACTGATGTGAGGCAATACCTCATTGCAGTTTTGATTTGCAATTCTCTAATAATTAGTGATATTGAGCATATTTTCGTGTGCTTTTTGGCCACCTGCATGTCTTCTTTGGAGAAATGTCTATTTAGATCTTCTGCCCATTTTCATTTTATTTGTTTATTTTGGCTGCGTTGGGTCTTCGTTGCTGCCCACGGGCTTTCTCCAGTTGCTGCAAGCGGGGGCTATTCTTGGTTGCGGTGCGCGGGCCTCTCATTGCGGTGGCTTCTCTTGTTGCAGAGCTTGGGCTCTAGGCGTGTAGGCTTCAGTAGCTTGTGGCACGCGGGCTTAGTTGCTCCACGGCATGTGGGATCTTCCCAGACCAGGGCTCAAAAGTGTCCCCTGCATTGGCAGGCAGATTCTCAACCACTGCGCCACCAGGGAAGCCCTTCTGTCCATTTTTTATCTGGGTTATTTGTTTTTTTGGTATTGAGCTGCATGAGATTAATCCCTTGTCGGTTGCTTCATTTGCAAATATTTTCTCCTGAGAATGAAATTAGAACACTCCCTAACACCATACACAAAAATAAACTCAAAATGGATTATTTATTCAAGGGTCATTTTTTCTTCAGTACCTACTATATGCCAGATACTATTCCAGGCACTGGAGATAAAACAGAGAACAAAACTTCTGCATTCAGAAGTTTACATTCTCACGGAGAGAAGGACAATAAACGAATATATAAGTAAAACGTACCATTAATATGTTCAGTGTTCTGGCGGGGAATAACAGAGGGAAGGGAAGAGGGCTTGGGTTTTAGACCCAAGGTGGTCAGAGAAGGTATAATGGACAAAAAAATGGTAAACAAAAAGCCCGAAAGTGGGAAAGATGGGAGCCAAGGGGCAACCTTAGGAGCCGAGTATCCTTGACTAAGGGCTCAGCAAATACATGGGTGGAAGTGTTCCTGGTGTGTTTTAGGTACCCCGAGGAAGCCACTGTGACCATTGTGGAAAGTGTGCATGAGGAGAAGAGGGGATTGACCTCACGGGGGGTGGGGGGTAAAGGGGGCAGGGTTCAGTCTTGGAGATTCTCCAAGTTTTTTTTCCCTCAGATTGAGATTGGAAGCCAGTGTACATTTTGAGCAGCGGCGTGACTGCAGCTCAAAAGGATCACTCAGGCCGATGTGTGGAAAAGCTTAAAGAACAATAGCAGAGTCAGAAAGAGGGTTTAAGCAGCTATCACAGCTGCTGAGATACGATGGTTTCGACCAGGAAGGGAGGTAGCAGCAGAGGTGGTGTCAAACCCAAAGGCCTCATAACAGTGTACCAGCTCTCCCGATGGGGTTCTTCCTACCCCTCCAAACTCACCTTGTTCCTTCCTGTATCCCCAACCCCACAGACCACTGCTAAGCTCATATAGGCGTCTAATGAGTATTTGTTGAGACAATGAACAAATTAATGAACGATCTATCCCTAGATCATCATCACCTATTTTAACGATAGGCATATGGTCAGAACTCAATAAATGTTTGCAGACAGAATACCGCACGATTCTGCTAAACCCAGGTGGCTAGGCCTCTTCACAGCTGGGGAAAAATGAGACTGGGGAAGTATACATCTGGGGTCCCTCTGCACAGCTTACGCTAGAAGCTTCCTTCCCAATTTCAGCATGGCGAATTCCTGGACACTGAGAAGAAAGAGCTTGCTTTCAGGATGAGTCACAGTGACCTCACAGGAGTTTCCCCCAAAACGTCCCTACCCTGTGGAAGGGAAAAACTGGAACCTCGTAGGGCCGGAGGGTCAGAAGACTCAGGCCAGACAGACGTTCGGAACGTTCCCGGAGGACCTCCCACCCTCGGGCCATAGAGATGAAAGGACAGAAGTGCCGCCCTTGCGCAGCCGAGACCCCGCCCCCCGTTCCGCGCCTCCAGCGGAAGCCGGAAGCAAAAGCGGGCCCTGCTAGCCCCGCGGCTCGGTGGTCTCGGAGGCTCCGCAGGATTGGGGAGAAGATGGCGGAAGAGGAGTGAGTGGGTTTTTCCCGGGCGGCGGAGGCGGCAGGGCTGGGCCCCATCGGGTGACTGCGAGCACCTCAGGCCGCCCTCCGGCCCCAGAAGGCGGAGCTCTTTGTGCTGGTTGGCCAGGACTGACCATGCCGGCGCCTGCGAGGAGGGCTGGAGGGACGGGCCTGGGCCGTGCAGCCTCCTTGAGGTTGGACCCTCTGGCTAGGGATCGGCTGCCCAGCGTAGGTCTCGAAAGCCGTCTTGCAGAAACCGCAAGCCAAATTTCACTTTCCTAGTTTTCGCATCCGCTGATTACGCAGCGCTTCGCCGCCTCCAGAAAGTTCCCCAGCTGCACCCCTTACGTAGCCAGTCACCTCCTCCATTGTAATGACTATTTTTCACATCTGTTTCCTTCAGTGAGTTTCATTTATTCGTTAACTGGTGGCCATCTACTCTATTTTAGGCCCTGGTCACATGGTAGTGAAGGAGGCCGACCAGGAGCCGCTCTCAGGGAGCTTCCATTCTAGTGGAAAAAGAAGACCATAAATAGACGAGATGATTTCAGTGCTCTGGAGGAAACGGAATGGTGTTAGCGTGTGGGAGGCTTCTCGGGAAGAGGTGATGTGCCACATGAAACCTTAGTGACCAGAAGGAGGTAGGAGAGGAAACAAGGTGCAAAAGGCCAGGAGCAAGAAAGTCTAGTGCCTTTTTGAGGGACAGAAAGAACGGCAGGATGGCTGGAGTGTGGAGAGCAAGGGAGCTAACTGTACAAGATGAGATAAAGGGGGTGAAGGTGCCTCTGTCCTCCTGCTCCTGCTGGGGAAGGACCACTCTCAGTCCATCTACATACCTGCCAGGCACAGTCTGTTGCATGTTATAGGTGCCCCATCTATATTTGTGGAATGAGTATGTGAAAATGAACAAGGAACCAACCCCATGGTTGAAATTTGACTTTCTCACCTGACAACTTTTCATGCGTGTCTTTTGGCCTGGTGGTCATTTCATTTAGTCACATATTGAGCATCTTCTCAGTCCCAGACACTAAATTGGGCCTCAGCAGCACAAAGCAAAAGAGGTGGTATGACTCAGTGATTTCAAGTTTGGACTCAAAGCTTGATTCTGCCACTGACTGATATTCGCCAAGTTATGCAATATCTCTGAGCTTGTTATTCATGGGTAAAAAAGAGAAAGTAGTAGTGTCCACCTCAGGCTTATTATGCCCATTAAATGAGACTTGGTATGTTACCTGGTTCCTGGAATTAAGCGGTACTCAAAAAACATTAGCTGTTATAATCACAGTTACAGTGATCATTATGTCAATATTGTGCTAGTTTACAATCCCAACACAGTGTGAGGAGATAGTGTGAGGAACACAGCAGTAGTGTGGAGGAGGGGATTACAGAGGGGATTACATTTGGGCTTTTTGAACTCAGAGAAGGTTTTTGTAAAGTAGGGTAGAGCATTCTGACCAGATCAACAACTGGGCAAATTCAGTGGCGTCTTCAACTTGCAGATACCATCTAAGGAAAAGAATGTAAACTGGAGAAATAAGGCACTTAGTAATTAATGTTGGACCTTGGAATATGATGAGACTCCAGTTGGCCTCCCTTTAAATCCCCCATTAAGTGCCAAAGAGCAGGCAGCCTTTGATTCTACACCAGTCCTGATTCCCCCTTGTCCCTGTCCTCTAAGTGTTTGCGTTCAGGGTACCTGAGGCCACTGGTACCCTCGTGCTGCAGCAGGAGGGAATCTTCCTAATCAGTTTCTCTCCGAGGCCTGCCTCTTGGTTGCAAGGGTTGTGAATCCCATCAAGCTCCGTGCCAAAGTTCTCTGGTTTGTGTGTGTGTTGGTAATTCGGGGCCCTTTTTCCTTTGTCTAATTCCGCTGCTTTTTATGTTCTCCAACAGGTTCCCCAATACAACTCATGAAGGTTTCAATGTCACCCTTCACACCACCCTGGCGGTCACTACGAAACTGGTGCGTCCGAGCCCCGCCAAGCCCATCCTCCCGGTGCAGACGGGGCAGCAGGCTCAGCAGGAGGAGCAGTCAAGCGGCATGACCATTTTCTTCAGCCTCCTGGTGCTCGGTGAGTGCGGGCCGCGGTGAGTGCGGGCTGCGGTGAGTGCGGGCTGCGGTGAGTGCGGCTGGCGGTGAGTGCGGCCCTGAGTGCGGCCCTCGGTGAGTGAGTGCGGCCCGCTGTGAGTGCGGCCCTCGGTGAGTGCGGGCCGCGGTGAGTGCAGCCCTCGGTGAGTGCGTGCGGCCTGCGGTGAGTGCGGCCTTCGGTGAGTGCGGGCCGCGGTGAGTGCGGCCGGCGGTGAGTGTGGCCCTGAGTGCAGCCCTCGGTGAGTGAGTGCGGCCCTCGGTGAGTGCGTGCGGCCTGCGGTGAGTGCGGCCGGCGGTGAGTGTGGCCGGCGGTGAGTGTGGCCCTGAGTGCAGCCCGCGGTGAGTGCCTGCGGCCCGCGGTGAGTGCGTGCGGAGACACCATCATATGGCATTGCGAGTGTCTGTGTGTGCTGTCTGTGTGGTCAACCCCGCGTCAACCACTGTTGACTTGGTCACGCCTTCCTCCTGTTTGGTTTTCACTTCAAACGCTGAGGGTCAGTGATCAGTCCGTTCATAACATCATAACAGGGTACTCCTTTTTCTTTATAAAATCATTGAGCTGAGCAATTCTGAAGAGCCCTTTATATATCTTAGACATCCTTTGAAAGGAAGAATTAAAGAATTTTTGCTCTAGAGAGAACTTTGAACATCTGGTTGAGTGTATTTCAGACTCCGCTCCTGAGAGTCTCTGTGTGTTTCTGTGTAGGTGGCAGTGGGAGCAGGAGGTGGGGTGGGGCGTGAAATGGCAGAGCATCCAGCTTTCTGACCAGAGCAGCATTTTGTTCCTCATACCCATTAGACCTCCACGTAAAATTTTACTTACTTAAGAGGTTTGCTGTGAGTAAAAGATCACACACCCTTGCCCTAGCACACTGTTTTCCTTAACTTCCGTCATTCCCATTAACCATGGTCATGACTTTTGCCATATCTGTGTACCACCTGGGCTGTTATTTACCTATATAATGTTTTTCTTTAAACCGATTCACTCTCTCAAACTGAAAATCTCATTTTATTCGACTTCCTCCTTTAACAGGTGAAGAAATTTAGGCCCAGAGAGGTTAAATTATTGACAGGCCTGGTTTGGGGGAGGCTAGAGGCTAATATCCAGGTTGCCAGACGTCGGTCAAGCAGTTTAGATAAAAGGCAGTAACTTAGCTGCCTCCCAGAGACTATGGACAGTAGACACCTGTTTTAGACCAGAAGACCAGTTGAAACTGCACAACCACTTTGGATCAGCTAAAGAAGAAATAGCTTCAAATATGACCCTCCAAACTCTTGTTTGAAGAGTTTCTCATACAATTGGAACCATATCTCATACAATTGGAACCAGAATATCTCATACAATTGGAACCATACAATATGTGACCTTTTATGTCTGGCTTCTTTCACTTGGCATATGTTTTCAAGCTTCATCCATGTTGTGGCATGTGTCAGAATTCCTTTTTTATGGCTGAATAATATTCCACATTATGTTTATCCATTCATCACTTGATGGGCATTTGGGTTGTTTCCACCTTTTGGCTATTGTGAATAGTGCTGCTATGAACATTTTTGTACTTTTTTTTTTCTTTTGCGGTATGCGGGCCTCTCATTGTTGTGGCCTCTCCCATCGTGGAGCACAGGCTCCGGATGCACAGGCCCAGCGGCCATGGCTCATGGGCCCAGCCACTCTGCGGCATGTGGGATCTTCCCGGACCGGGGCACGAACCCGTGTCCCCCGCATCGGCAGGCGGACTCTCAACCACTGCGCCACCAGGGAAGCCCCTTTGTACGGGTTTTTATGTGGGCATATGTTTTTATTTCTCTTGGGTACATACTTAGGAGTGGAATTGCTGGGTTAAGTGGTTACTCTAGGTGTAACTTTCTCAGGAACTGCCAAACTTTTCCACAGAGGCTGCACCATTTTACATTCCCACCAGCAATGCACAAGGGTTCCAGTTTCTCTCCATCCTTGTCAACACTTGTTATGTTAATTATAGCCTAGGGTGTGAAGTTTTATCTCATTGTGTTGGTTTTTTTTGTTTCTCATTGTGGTTTTGATTTGCATTTTTCTAATGATTAATGCTGATGAGCATCTTTTCATGTGTTTTTTGGCCATTTGATCTCTTTGGAGAAATGTCAGTTTAAGTCTTTTGCCCATTTTAAAATTGTGTTGTCTTCTTGTTGAGTTGTCAGAGTTCTTTATATACTCAGGACACTAGACCTTTATCAGACATATGACTTAAAAATATTTTCTCCAATTCTATGGATTGTCTTTGCAGATCTCCTTCTTTTTATAGCTGAAGACCATTCCCTGGCATTGATCATTCTTATATGTAGCTCTCTCCATTGATAGAGCTTTCTCTTTTGCCCTTAAAACTGCAAATAGTTGTGTGATTTATGAGAATAATATGTAAACTTTTTTCATCCAGCTTGGTGCAAAGAAAGAGCAGAAACTGATTCCACTCCTTAGATCAATTTTCTCTCTACTTATGTGCTTACCTGCCTGCCTTTTTAGGCAATAGGCGTTCTCATTGGTTACATGTACTAATGCATTGGAACTTTTTTCTTGCTGTTAGTATTTAATATAGGATTTTTCTAACTAGGCTAAATATTTATAATAAAATAACACCACAGATTGATAGTTTAGAGCACAGAATGAAAGGAGGATAAAATTTCTGTATTTACAGCTGTTTCCTTTCTCTGGCCACCTGGTGTTTCTTGGTGGGACTAAAGATAATCTAATTTGTCAGTGTGGGCTCTGAGGGTGGCCAGTTCACAGCCATGAAAATTGTTTAAACATTTCCTTTTACCAAAAAAAAAAAAAAAGCAACACATTTATTTTTAGTACTATCAAGGTAATACTTTGATTGATGAGATGGCATACCACCTAGGTGCCTAGTAAGAGAAAAAGACATGCACACTAACATTTGGGTCTTGAAATTACATTTAGGAGTTATTCATGCAAAAGTGTGCTTTTTTTTTTGTTCAGAAATATGTATTCCTTTCAAATAGTTTTACATCTTTCTGTTTCTTTTCTTTCATGACAACACCCCTGTGAGGAAAGTCAGACGTTATTCTTATTTTGCTGGTTGAGGAATGAAGGCCGCAGGGAGGGAGGTGGTGGGTGCCCAGGATTAAGGGCACAGGGTTGGAATTAAGCTCAACCCTGTGGCGTCTACCAGCCTCGGCTTTTATCTTGAATCAAAGGAGGTAGTGGTGATAACAGCTCATTCAGAGGGGGGTGTTGGGGGTCAAATGAGACAGCGTTTGGGAAGTGCTCGGTACAGTGCCTGGCTCATGGGAAGCCCTCAACCAGTGGGAGCCCCAGTACCCATCTGGGGAGCAAACACCCCATCTTCAGGTCTCTGATGCTCTTATCACCAAACCAATATTAACTTTGTTCTGTTTTTTAAAACACCCTTACTTCCTTCTGTGTTAAAAGAGAACGATCATGTGGTGGCAAGATACTTTGTGTCAACATATATTCTGTTGCAGCTCTAGTTGCATAAAAGTGATTGATTTCATTAACTTCCTCCTCACCATTGAGGATTATTTCTCAGAATCAGGGAAATTTGAATAATTTTAAGTGGTTGTATAAGGTTTACAGCTTAGAATAGCGGTAGATGTCTGCTGCTCTTTCAACAACTGGAAAACAAACTAGTTCAGGCATGTAAAGAAATACGGAGAAAATGTGATGAACACCATGCAGCTACCTCCTGGTTAAGAAATAAGAAATTGAAAATACAGCTGAAGTTTACTGTGTCATTGTCAGTTGTCCATTTCCCTGGCAGCCTCCTAGAAATAACCCCTGCCTTGGACTTGGTGTTTGTCATTCAAAGTTGGGCTGTTTTCTAGGGGCAGGACAGGAATAAAGACGAAAACGTAGAGAATGGACTTGAGGACATGGGGAGGGGGAAGGGTAAGCTGGGGCAAAGTGAGAGTGGCATGGACATATATACACTACCAAATGTAAAATAGATAGCTAGTGGGAAGCAGCCCCATAGCATAGAGAGATCAGCTCAGTGCTTTGTGACCACCTAGAGGGGTGGGCTAGGGAGGGTGGGAGGGAGACGCAAGAGGGAGGAGATATGGGGATATATGTATACGTATAGCTGATTCACTTTGTTATAAAGCAGAAACTAACACACCATTGTTAAGCAATTATACTCCAATAAAGATGTTAAAAAAATAATTAAAAAAATAAGTCTTATTTTTTCCCACAGCTATCTGCATCATATTGGTGCATCTACTGATCCGATACAGATTACATTTCCTGCCAGAGAGCGTTGCTGTTGTCTCTTTAGGTAAGTGCTTATTGGTGATCCTATAATAAAAGCACTAACTATACCACTTTTTGAGTGCCTCCAAAGTGCTAGGAACCACAAGAGATGTGGTGTATACCTGAGCTCATTTCATTGTCACTGCAAGCTGCCGTGAGGGTGTTATGATCCCATTTTACAGATGAGGACACTGGGGCCTCAGGGGTGATGACCTCCTAAAGGTCACATAGAAGCCCCTCTATCCAACCTGAGAGCCCTTTCTACTTCTAGAACCACCCTCAGGGCACATCCAAGGCTTTTATCCGCTTATTATATTGTAGTTACTTTATTTCTAGTTTCAAGTTGTCTACCAATGATATTTATTTTTTTCTTATCACCACTGCTTTTTAAGTTAATTTTATGTATAAAATTATATATACTTTATAAGTTTTCTTTGCCTTGTAGATCTGGTTTAGTATATTTAGAAATTCTTTCCCAATATAGCGATGGTTTGGGTTAGCTTTGGAAATGAACATTCACACTGTTTATTCTAAGGTCTACTACTAGGCTGTGCTGTCACTCGACTAAGGCAAATGCTTGACAGTTAATTCATAGAATCACTGAATTTTACAGCCCGAAGAGGCTCTCACTTTAAGGTTTAGGATGGAGGAATGGCTCACTTTAATGTCAGTCAGATCTAAGGTCTTCAGAGAGCATTCCATTCTACCTCACTTATATTTCCCTCTTTTGTTTTCTGTGGCAATTAACTGTTAAGATAATTAGCCTCTATTTAGAATGTATGAATCACTGTAATCACAGTTGACCTCACATGTAAGTTCATTGAAGTGGTTAATGAAGCAGGGACCTTACTTTTCAGTAAGTATTAAAATGAAGATGTGGGTGGGGAAGCTTAAGGGATAGTAAATAGGGTTTCACTAAGGCCAGCTAAAGCTTTCATCAGCTTATTATATTGTAGTTACTTTTACTAGTTTCCACTTGCCTACTGATGATATTTAATTTTCCTTATCACCACTGTTGCTTTATAAGTTAATTTTCTTTGCCTTAGATCTGGTTTAGTATAGTATTTAGTATTTTTCGCAGTATAGCAGCAGCTTAGGTTAGCTTTAGAAATGGATGATCAGACTCTGTTCATTCTCCTTCCCCTACCAGTACCAGCATTCCTACTACTCTGTTTCAGCCCCTCCTGTATTTTCCCTGGACTTCACAGTACTACTAAGTGCCAGGTTCTGGCCTGTGAGCTTTCACATTGCCATCTCATGTAAGTCCCGTAACCCCCAGGTGATGCCATATTTTAAGGAAGATGTACCGCTGGATAATTTTGATCTTCAGTAAAGAGTTAGAAATCAGTTTTACTCAGAGTTCCTGTTCTCTATTGAGCAGTCTCTTCAGCTACACATCCTGGCAGATTCTAACAAACTTAGTTAACAAGAGCCTTAGAGCTCTAAGAAGAGGAGGATCATTTGTTAGCATTCCTTTCCTGATATTAGGCACCTCGAAAATAACCTATATAGCTAATACCTATTATTCTGGGGCATTCAGTAAAGACTTAAAAAGCCACTGCAAGGAAGTTACAGTTTTGTGGTCAGTTTACATAGTTTCTTAAGAATAAGACCTATAGTTGGTGTGTATTTAGGTATTGTGCACATGGAAATTTAAGTGGTGGTTCTTGTAATTTGGTTTGGAATGTCAGGTTCCTCACTGTCTCTTGAATGTTTCAGTAACTGCGGGTCACTGAATACCAGTGCTTGTACAAGGACTTACAGCGACATTGTTGTGTGCCTACCTAAGGGCCATTCCCCCTCCATGAAAACAACCCTCGCTTTGACCCCGTGTCTTTCCACATTGTGGTCAAGGAAGGTGAGCCCCTCCTCCAGGTCAAGATTGGTTTTCTTCATCGTGGTAATTGTTTCAAAGGGGTGGAGGCAGCAGGCAGTGTGAAAGCCAGGTCTGGCCAGTGAGACCAAGGGGAAGTGTGCTGGGGTGAGGAGTTTTGGAAACATTTTTCCTCACTGATAAAAAGAGAAATTTCCCCTTCCTTTGATGCTGTTGTATGAGGATGTGATGCCAGGAGCACTGGTAGCCATCTTACAATCACTGTGGCTCAAAGACGAAGCCAGAATGCTGAGGCTTGCCAAGGAGACAGATGGGAAGCCCAGATTCTTGACTGCACTGTTGTTTTGTAGAATTGATAGCCCCGAAACTACCTATCTCAGAGCTGCCTGTTACATGAGATAATAAACATCCATTGTTTAAGCCATTTTTAGTCAGGTGTTCTTTTACTTGCAGAGGAAAACATCTTAACTGATATAGGACTCTTTCCATTCAATGGACAAAATCAATTCAAAATGATTCAAAGAAAACAGATATTGGTGTGGGTGGAGTTGCACACCCATTGGCTCATGGCACCAAAAAACCTACAGGCGGTGCCAGCTTCAGACTTCGCTGGATCAAGTCTCCTGGACTCAGTTTTTCTCCATTCTCAACAGTGCTTCCCTTTGTTTTGGCTTCACTCTCAGGCAGGCTCTCTCCACATGGTAAGACTTGACAGCTTCAGGCTTGCTGTCCTTACAGTAGCAGTCATGCTGGGAAGGGTGGCCTCCTCTTCCCCCTGCTTCCACCAGAAGTTGTAGGATGAAGTCTGACCAAATGGCCACCCCAGAACTGGACATGGAGCGGAGCAGTGCTGGGGGTCAGCAAAGGCTGTCCGTGCACAAGGTTTCTTCCTTTGCTGATGTTGCGCAAATAACTGTAGCCTATACAGCTAGGGCTTGGGAGTGGGTGGTGGAAAGTCAGTCTTGCTTTCAGTACTTATTTGCTAACTCAGGTGATTGGAATACTAAGAGCACTTCTAGGGAGAGTGCTGGGGTCCAGAAAGGACTTTTTGTTATATTAGAGGACATTTGGTTAAAATTTAGAAATGCTGACAAAGCTATCAAAGTAGTTCTGTATTTCATAAAGCTATGTAAATGGAAGGAAAACTTTTTTCTCCTACTGGAACAAAGTGTAACAAAATATTGAGATATCTACCATTTCAAGAATTTCCAACTTTTGTGCCAAAAAAGAATCTAGATGAAGCTGCCAGAGAAAATGGGGTTTTCATTCTTTCAGGGGTAAGTTTTCCTAGCCTACTTTTTCTAACCAGAAGTTACTTTTGAGTCCACAGTCATTTAGAGATACTGTTGGCCTTTTGTGTTAAGCATTCAGAGCTCCTAAGAAATCGTAGGTATAGAAGAGGACTATCTGTACTCAAAAAGCACTTTTCCGCTCTTCTATTTTACTGTATTTTCAAATGAATCGAGACTTTTTTCATTCTTTATAAAAGCATAGTATCAACATGAAGTTCTAAAGCTATTTCCTTGGCCCTTGTTCAAAGCTTTCAGATACTTTCTATACTTAGGGAATTCTGTAGTTCGGGCCTTTTAAAAATGTATATATATATTTTTTCACACTTAGCTATAAAGAAGAAAAATCCTTTTCATTGACAACCAGCTCTTTTTATCATGCTTCCTTCTCTTCCAAACCATGTGTAGATGCACACATGCCCATCAGATGACTTGACTTGGTTTGAGCTTCAATCATTTTTTGTGTTCTTCACTTTTTACTGTTCTTTCCATGTATTAGTAAAGTTCACATATTTATTTTTATTGGCCATATAGTGCTGATTCACTGTTCATACATTTTGGGCTGAAATTGGTAAGGAGTGAAAATGAAATAGTTGTACTGCCTACTGTCCTCTGTTGTATATAGCAAAAATAGGAATAAATTTTTTTTCATAGTCATACTTTATCATAGAGTGAGGAAAGGCCTGAATGGGGTTAAGAATGGAATTTGACTACAAAATGCCAGGGTTTAGCCTGAATACTGCTGATAGTTAGAAAAACTGTATGTTAACTTATAACTGGATTTGATTGAATCATTGAATAAATAGGAATACACAAATGTGCTTCCTTGTCATAACCTGCTTAACTATGTTTGTACTTTTAGTTATATTATCTCCTTGTTTTGACTAAAGGATTGAAATTTTTTTTAAGAGTAGGGCTCTTTTTGTCAATGGGGGTTTTGAGTGGAAGATGAAAAAAAAATCACTCAGTTCCTGAGTTGCTGACTGAAGGTAATTCTGGGAAAAAGCATATATATAGTGATTATATTCTAATTGTACTTAAGTTCTAAAAACGGTTTTTTTAGAGAAAACTTAAAGCAAGAATCCTGACTGTAACTCTAACAGCTTTCCTGACTTTTTAGACTGTGAGAGTCCAGTTGTGATGCAGCTTGAGCTGTCCCATGGGTAACTCTCCCTGAGTCTCAGGTACTTTGATTTTTGTTAGAGAAGAAACAGGCATTCATTTGTTGGCATTAGCGTAGCTGTCTCAGAGGTAGAGGCCAAAATTGGTTGTCACATTGACAAAATGATCACATTAGACTCTAAGGATTTTCTGGGCTGTCGCATTCCAAGGAAGAGTGCTAGCACAGACTTTTAGCCTCTGTGTTTCTGGAAACATGGCTCAGAGGTGACAGTTTATTCTTGGAACATCTTGTTGCTCGTTAGCTGCCGTTAGCTAAACGTGTGCTCTGTGTGTAATAGTGCATATGCTTTTGCCTGGTCTTGCTCTGATTCTCCTTAGTTTTATGGTCATCTGCTCTTGGCTCAGCATTTTTTCATCTTAAAGTTGTATTTTATACTTAAATTTTTTAGATATGTCAGAATAGTGAGGTAGTCTGAACTTTAAAGGAAGAAAGGTTGTTAAAGGATTGCATTTGGAAACTTGCTACATCTGGGCTGATTTCTATAAATTTCCTCTTTCGCCACATAAATGTTCTCAACAGAACAGAAAGGAATAACATTCCACTGAAAAGGTAAGCTACCTTAAAAACAAAATATATAAACAGCATTTCCCCAGAAAACAGAGAGACAGCTCTGAGGTCCTGATTCTCATCTTCCTGGCAGGTCTTCTGTCTTTCAGAATACTATCTTTGGAGTATCTATTTTAGTATAGGTAGCAGCATCAAGGACTGGAATTTCAAAA